GACCACAGGGCGCGGCAGACCTCTCCTGACCCTCCCGCTGCTCCCCTCAGCAGTGTACTTCGTTGATCTGTCTGTTTGGTTCCCCACTCTGTCTCTGGTGAGTCCTCTCACCACCCCTGCACCTCTGGCCTGTACCCCAGTTCTGTATGCATAAATAAATAAATCTTAAAAAAAAACCACAATGAAAGTACTTTATAGGTGAAAATACTGACTAAAATATATGTGCTTGCTAATTGTTTACAAGTTTCTGAAAGTTTTGTGCTTTGAAGCATGTCTTTTGGTTATGGTAAAATATAACAAAATTCCACAGATTTTGAATTTCTGTATGACTGAGGACACACAGTTTTTGCCTTCAGGAAGTTCATTGTCTATTGGGGGAAAAGTACAAAATATTACATTGCTATTGCAGAAGTGCTATAATGGAGGTATGTACTAAGTGTGATGGAATCAAAGGAAGGAGACATTACTTGATCTTGGGGGTGTGGAGTGTCAATGGCAACATCCTAGCTTTCACTGTAATAGAACTCTTTCTCCATTACTGGTACCCCTGTTTTGTACTAGTATGATTGCCAAGTAAATCCTGCAGTACAGAAGTCTTCTGAGAATACATAGCTTGCTGATGATAATGTTATAGTGCTATAAAGTAGTATTTAGTATTTAGAGAATAAAAATGTAGTTACTGCAGAGATTATGAGTTTGTATTATGATTTCTGTTCTCCCATTACATGTAATCAGTGGGCTTTACCATAACTATGTCTATATATCAGCACAGGAATTTGAATGGGTATTCTCCCATGAGCTTATCATTTTAATAATAGATTAGAGCATGGTTATTCTATTTGTGGGTGGAAAATGGAAAAGGGCGTAAATGTCACATTTTTGAGAGTGGGCCTGTATTTCATACTTGGTATTTAACAATAGTAGAACAATGCAGACTAGTTTCTAATCTCAATTGTCTATTGTTATAGCCAAGCTTACTGGTGTTGTTGACTCTTTTATTCCTTTTGCCTCAGATTAGTAAGATTTTTTAAAAAAGTGATTCTTTTTAATGAGTCAGTAACCATACCTATGTTCTTTTTTCAAATTATATGTAAAGTAGATGCATTTTAAAGGTAAATTACTATTGTCGTAGGAGACATTTTATTATTAGATGGAATTTAAAAAGTAATGTTTTTTTGTGTGTGTGTGCATACAGAACTGGGGTACAGGCCAGAGACTCAGGGACAGCGACAGTTTTCACCAGAGACAGAGCAGGGAGCAGAATAGGCAGATCCACGAAGTACACTGCTGAGGGGAGCAGCGGGCGGGTCAGGAGAGGTCTGCCACGCCATGTGGTCACCTCCGGGGCAGGCGGGAATCGAACTCATGCGGAAGTGGCTTCAGTTTCCCAGTGCTGTGCTTTAACCTGCTGCGCCACCAGGGAGGGCCAATAATGATTTTTTTTAAAAAAAACTAGTCCTATCCTTTCAGTGAAGTTACCTTTGTTTTCATCATAACTTTAGAAAATTATATTCTAAGCCTAACTATTAAACTGTATTCTTTGGAATACAGACTCATTTTTATGTTAACTTATTTTTGTGTTGTGTTTCCTCTATATTTTTGGTTTGTGGTGTGTGTGTGTGTGTGTAAGAACTGGGTTGTGTAAGCCAGAGGTGTAAGGGGGATTCACCAGACAGAGTGGGGAGCAGAATAGGTGTATTAACTGAACTACACTGCAAAGGGGAGCAGCAGGTAAGACAGGAGAGGTCTGCTGCTCCATGGGGCCAGCTCCCTGGCTGAGGGTAGAACCCAAGCTGAAGCTGGATTAGTGCTGAGGCTTAGCGCCAAGGCCACCAGGAAGGCCCTGGTTTGTGTTATTTTTAAAATGGATAGAGAATGGGTATATTATATACCTCTGAGCATCACCACTAATATTAAACTATGGTTCTTTTTTATTCCTTACAGGCTTCTAAGGGAAGAAATCCATACCGATATTACTTTCTCTGTAGGTTGTACTTTGTTCAGAGCACACAAAGCAATCCTGTTAGCCAGGGCTCCTGACTTCTATTTTCACACTGTTGGACAGACATCAAATAATTTAGCAAATCTTGAGCCTGTTGCTGTGGAGAACTTTGAAACTTCAGAATTTAGCACATTTTTACAGTAAGTGCTTTACCTTTTTTCTCTTATATTTAAGTCTATTTTTTTTAAAGCATAGATGCATATGTTTTTTATTTCACCTATTTTCATATTTGTTTTATAATCTTCTAAAAAAATGCATTCATTAAAATTCCAAATCACTTTAGTAATTAGTATTAGAAGGGGCTAAATAGTAGTAGTATGAGATACTTAGAATTGGGAGAGGCTAAGTATGAACTTGAGGCTGATCCTGGGAAAGTGGAAATGATGGTGTGCACTCCAGTAATTTGAATGAATAAGTCTGTGTGGTTTCTCAGCAGTGGCACTATTGCTATTTGGGTTGGATAATTTTCATTGTTTTGTACATTTTAGGATGTTTAACATTTAGGATCCCTTCCTGCTCCCTCCTCCCTCAGAAGTGACAGTCAAAAAGTCTTCAGGTCACTTAGGGAATAAAATCCCCCTGTTGCGAACCATTGCTATATACTGACCTTTGCATTAGTAATATGCAAAACTTTAGATAAATTATGTGCTTATGAATTATGAGATTATAACTTTTTGTTCACATGGCTTGTGTATGGTCAAAAGTAGAACATCATGAAATGAGATGATCTTTGAAAGTAGAACAGCTATTGATTTTGTTAGTTTGGGGGCTTGAGTTTGGTGAACTTAGAGAATTGTCATTGGCTAAATAATATGATAAATTAATTCTCATTCAAAAGAAATAGAATTCCATTTTAATGCTGTCTACACACTACATGTAATTATTTGTTACTCATTTTTGCGAAATGGGTGTGAGGAGATGCTTGAAAATTGTATCTCTTTTTCAAAAGTATAGTTAAATGACTTTAGAGAAGCAGCATATTTTCTAAGAACATGATCTCTAAGGCTGAAATAGCTGGTTCTGCCAGTTGGTAGCTTTGTGCCTTAGTTTTAACCTTTGTACCTAATATTTCTTCCTATGTTAAATGTTTTGTGTGCAGTAAGCACCAGAAAAATTGTTAACCAAGTTTGTAATGTTTGGATATCTTGAAGAGTTTGTATTTCATTTCAGTAATTTAGACCTTGTTGACCCATCATTTTTTCCAATATATGGATGATATTTTTGTGATTTTCTGCCCCACCGTCTATCACATACACTTATCCAGCAGATATGTGTTGTGCCCTATTATGGGCAAAGCCTGGGTGCACTGGGTATTGATTCTTCATTTCAGTGCTTGATGGTGATGAGTATTTGTGGAACTAAGTTTTGAAATGGATACTGGCAATTATGTTACTGTATAGTACTACACATTTGTCATCTGCCTGTTTAAAACATCTTTGTTGCATCATCATACATATAACACAGATATGATTCATCCATTTAAAGTGTACAACTGAGTGGTTTTAGTAATTTCACTGAGTCATGCAGCCATGACCACAGTTTAATTTTAGAGCATTTTCAACACCTCCAAAAGAAATATTCTCATTAGCTGTTACTCTCGATTTCCTCATCCCCTCCTCCCACCCCTTCTAGAGACTAATCTACTTCCTGCGTCTGTGGATTTGCCTTTATGGACTTCTCACATAATGGAATCTTGTCATTTGTGGTCTCTTGTGACTAGCTTATGTCATTAAACATAGTGTTTTTAAGATCCATCCCTGTTGTTGCATGTATTAGTACTTCATTTCTTTTTATTGCCATAACATACTCCATTTTATGGCTATACGACATTTTGTTTATCCATTCATCAGTTGATAAAATTTATGTTGTTTCCACTTTCTGGTTATTATGACCAATGCTGTTATGAACATAGGTATGTACATTTTTGTGTGAGCCTACGTTGTCATATCTCTTGGGTATAGCTCTATAGGAGGAATGACTGGATCATATGGTACTCTGTGTTTAAATTTTTGGGAAATGGCCTGACTCTTTTCCCGAAGTGATGATATCATTTTACACTTCCACCAGCCACATATGAAGGTTTCAGTTTCTCCACACTGTTGTAACACTTTATTATCTTTTTTTTTATTTTAGCCATACTATTTGGATAGGAGGTGGTTTCTCCTTTGTATTTCCCTAATGGCTAACAATGTTAGCATATTTTCATGTCTTTGTCATTTGTATATCTTTTTTGGAGAAGATTCAATCCATAGTCTTTGTCCATTTTTCAGTTATTTGTCTTTACTATTACCGAATTTCAAGAGTTATTTGTATATTCTGGATATTGGGCATACGATCTGAAATATTTTTGTTATGATCTTTTGTTCTTATAGTCTAAAAGTTTTGTTTGTTAATTTGTTTTGTTTCTTTATTTACATATGAGTGAAATCATATGATGTTTGTCTTTTTCCATCTGGTTTATTTTACTAAGCCTGCTACTCTAGTGCAAATGGCAGGATTTCACCTTTTTTAATAGCTGTCAATAGTAATACTCCATCGTGTATTTATAGTTGTATATCAGGTGATTTCTTCATTGTCTGAACATCATAGATTGTAATTATATCAGCCTATGTGGCATAACTTACTGCTCACATATGCGTTGCGGGTCTTAGTTATTTGCTGACATGCTTTTTGCCTGTAATTAAAATCATACTGACTTTAGTGTCTAAAGTTCTTTGGGGGAATACATTTTAAGTTTATTGATATGATTTTGTTTATTGATCCTCATTTATTCTCTGATAGTTTTGTGAGTGATCTATTGGGTTTTTAAAAATTTCTTAAGAGTTTCTTGTATGAGGCTTTTGTAAGCATTTGGAAGATTGCTGAACTTGGCTTCCTCTAGTGTAAAAATAATATATTATCTTATACATTAAACCGATACTTTTAGCACAATTAAGAAAATCATTATCATTTTCCAGTATAGATCATAGATCATTGAGTTCCCAGCTGTGAATTTATTTATTTATTTTTAAAGATTTATTTGTGCATACAAGCACTGGGGTACAGGCCCGAGTTGCAGGGGATGAGAGGATTCACCAGAGACAGAGTGGGGAGCAGGACAGTCAGATTGAAATACATTGCTGAGGGGAGCAGTGGGGCAAGACAGGTGAGGTCTCTGCCATGTGGGTCACCTCCCTGGCTGGGGACCCAACTCATGTTATAGTGCTGCAGATAGCTTCATAGTGTTCAGACTTAATCCTTGGCCACCAGGCAGGGAGACCCCCAGCTATAAATTTTACATACATACACACACACCATATATGTATATTTTCTCCCCCTCCTCTTTAGGGGGTGTAATAGTGTTATTAGTACAGCAGATTCTGTACTCAGACCATTCTACTACTTCTAACTGTGACCTTGGAATAATCACTTACTATCAGTTTCTTCACCTGAAGAAGACATAACAATACCTACATGGAGTTTTGAGAGTTAATTGCAGTGCCTTATAAAGCAGTTAGCATAGTGATCTGGCACATAGAAAACACCAAATAAATGTTAATATAGTAGGCCCCATGGAAGTATAGATTTCCTTAACTATTGAGTGTATGTTTAGAAATAAAATATTTAGGATAGGTCAAATTTTTATTGAAGTGACATTGCTTTATAACCTTACATAAGTTTATAAGTGAGCATCTGTATTTACTACATTAAGTCTACCACTACAAGTCCATTCTGTTCTTCACCATAAAATTAAGCCTAAGTTTTATATCTTAGAGAAAGGAAAGCATTACATCATTATTATTATTGTTACCATTGAAAGTGATAGATTTAATGGGAGAGTATGGTAGAGTGAGGAAACAGTGGATTCAGCAGCAAGACAGAGATCTGCCTTCTTGCTATACATTATCTTGTTGATTTCTTTGAATTTCAGTTTTTCATATTAGAAGAAGGATGGTTGGAGTGGATGGCTTTGTGTTTCACAGCACTTCACAGTCTTCTATTTTAAGCTCTTAATCACATTCTATTTTGTATTAGGTTAGTCATGTATATTTATGTTATATAAGCTCTTTGAGATTAGATCATCTGGTTGATGTGAGCATCTCCAGTGGTGTCTAATGAAATGTCTTGGAAAAGAAAGTACTTGTCATGTAACCCTCCCTTTTTTGGACAATTTACATTGAATTTTGTCTGTATTCATATATTTATAGTATAAAAATTGATATATTTTTAAATGTTAATAAAATTTTATAAAAGTTTTTTTGAATATTACTCTATAAAATTCTCTTATAAATATCCTCAGTTCACCTTCTTTCTTTTCAAATAAACAGTAAAGATTCTGAAATATTATTTTATGTTCCCAGTTATTGTTTTGGTATATATTTGAGTCAGAGTAGGAAATACCAATATTTGGAAAATTGTTTTCTATTCAGTGGCTTCAGAAATGCCTCAAGTGATTGGCAATGGAAAGTGCCATTTATGATCTCATGGTCATCTTAGCACCATAAAAATATTTGATTTCCCAAGAAGACTTCACCTGATGTACTTTTATCTGTGTGAAGTTGTATCTGTGCGAAGGGAACGTTCACAGTTTCTCCCACATCTGTTCTCTTACTTGGCATTTGCACCACACATACTGTGTCTTCACTCCTTCACTATTGATGAACCGTCAGTGCTTGTAAAATCAATCCCTTCATTTGTCCACCAGACCATATCTTATTCCTTTCATCTACTCAGGGACATTGTTGCAGCGATTTTGACTTTTCTGAAAAAAACAAAAACATGTCTCTTCTTAGATCTTTTCGTTAGTGTATAAGCATGATATCGTTCCTCCTTCTAAAAATCACCAAAACCTCCTGAGTCCATTTCCCTTGCAGTTATAAAGGAACGTTATGCTCCTTTTCAGTGCAAAGCTAAGGTGTTCTCTCTCACACTGCTTCTAATTCCTCTTTCCTATATATATCCTGTCTTTTTTATTTGTGATATAATACATATACCAAAACCATAACAGTTTCAAGTGCATTATTCCATGGCTTTACTGTATTCACAATGTTGTACAGCTGCCACACTAATACCTGAATATTTTCATCATCCTACAAAGAAAATCCATACCTATTAGCAGTTCGCTTCTCATTATCCCTTTCTCCCAGTTCCTGGAACCAGTAATTTAATTTTTGTCTTTATGGATTTGCTCTTTTTGTACATTTCATTTAAATGGGATCATACAGCATATGGCCTTGTATGTCTGACTTCCTACACTTAATATGATATTTTCAGGATCTTCTGTGTTGTGGAATTTATCAGCATATCATTTCTTTGTGTAACTGAATATTTTATTGTGTGATGGATGAGGGTAACCCATCGCCAGGTTTGATGATTTGCTAGGACTCAGTGTACAGTCATACCAAAGACTATGATTTATTACAATGGAAACAAAGAAAAAAGGTAAAGGTGTTACAGATTCCAAAGGGTCTTTGTCTGACTTCCACCAATTAATTCCCTACAAATTTTGAAAGAAACACTAGTAGGCTTCTCATTGGTGATTGGCTGGCTGGCGTTTTATAGAATTCCTTTTAATGAGGGGGATATGGGGCTCAGTAATAGGAAAACTAGGCTTACAAGGTCTAGATCTAAGGGGTCCTAGCGCAGAAGCATAGGGGGTTCAGAGTCCCAGTGTCACACGGAAGGTGCTTAGTGCCCCCCAGCAATAAGTTGTGACAACACTCCTGAAATGATACCAATCAGGGGGGCTCATTAAAGGCTTAACGCCCAGGCTTGTATTGAGTATTGGTAGGCTTCTTCTGCTAACAGTTGTCATATTCTAGACTCCTAAATGGAAAGCAGATGTTCAGCAAAAGCCAACATAACTCAGTATCAACAGTTCAGGTAACGTGAATAATCTTTTCATTTAGAGGCTGCTAGGAACTTTTCTGAAATCATGTTCTCAGTTCCCAGCCAACCTTGTAAGCACATCTTCCTATGGTAGCAGTCAAGTCTGCTGTGTTCATGCCTTTTTGTATATGAGGCTGTGTTTTGTTTCTCCATTCATTTGATAGAAAGTTGGGTTGTTTTGACTTTTTGGCTGTTAGGACTGAATCTTTTTAAAAAAAAACATATTTGTTTACTTATATGTGGGAGAACTGGGGTGTAAGCTAGAAGTATGAGGGGTGAGACGATTCACCAGAGACAGTGGGGATCAGAACAGGCTGCCCCATGTGGGTCAACTCCATGACTGGGGTTGGTACTCAGGCCTTAGAAATGATAATGCTGAGACTTACATCCAAGCACCAGGGAGGCCCCCTAGCACCATTTTTAGAAAACATTCTTCTTTTCCCATTGTTTAGAAATCAGTAAAAAAAAACACAACCCTGTGTGTCTCCTCTACGCGTAGTAGTCTAATCTTACGCTCACCAAGTATGTCTGACTTTTCTACACTCCATACGACCTAGGGATTCTACAAACTCCAATTAAGTGTCCCATAAATCTAGCTCAATTATGACTATACCTGGAGAAAGCATCAGATTCCACAGTTAAACGGCCCCCCTACTCAAAATGCCAACTACAAGTCCAGGTTGTTATTTGTGCTTCCCAATATCTGTAAATTGGGGGTTCCCACAACCCCCTCTCCAGGTTTGAGTAATTTGCTACAGAAGGTTATACAACTCAGAATACATTTTTCTTACTAAGTTGCCAGTTCCTTATAAAAGGATATAAATAACACAGGAACAGCCAGATGGGAGAGATGTGTAGAGCAAGGTATGTGGGGAGGGGTGCAGAGCTTTCATGCTGTTTGTGGGTATAGCACCCTCCCAGTAATGTCACCTGTGCACCAACCAAGTTTCACCTTTTAGGAGTTTTTATGGAGGCTTCACTGCCTTTGGTAGGATTGATTAAATCATGGGCCATTACTTGGTGATGGGAAACCTGCAGGGATTACAATTGAGATGGAAAAAAAAAATGTACAAAATGATGTAAAAATAAACTGTTATAAAAAAAAATTAAAAAAAAAATCATGGGCCATTCCTGACTGACTCAACCTCTCCCCTTCCTGGAAGTAGTGGGGGGGTGGCTGAAAGTTCTCACCCTCTAATCACACATTGGTTCCCCTGGCAACCAGCCCACATCTTTAGAGGCTTACCAAAAGTCACCTCATTAATGTAAACTCTGGTGTGATTGAAAGGAACTTGTTATGAATAACAAGGATAACACCTTTATCCCTCTGGAGCTATTTCAGGAACTGAAAATATAACTAAGTATTATAACAAAAGATGTTCCTGTGGCTCTTATGTAGAAAATTACTGGGAACAGTTGACAAGGTCCAAATACATATTTTTTGTCAGTTTGAGGTTTGTGGCTTTTTTTTTTAGTTTTATATTGTTTATTGTTAATCACAGTATCACAGCACCCTTATTGACAATCAGTTGCCTGTAAATGCATGTTTTGAACACACACTTTATTTCACTTACCTATGTCTGTCGTTATCAGTGCCACAGTGTTGATCATAGCTCTGTAGGAAGCTTCGGATTTAGGAAGTATTAATCTTTGCTTTGTTCTTTGCAAGATTCGGAGTCTCTTGTGTATCTACTGTAGCATGTAGAGAGATGGTTGGTTTTGCACCTTATGACTTTGCAGTAACTGTGGTGGATTTCTAAGGATTTTCTGTATATTTGTCATCTGTAAATAGAGATATTTTTGTTTCTTTCCAATTCAGATATTGTTTGCTTTTTTCTCACTTAAATGCCCTGGCTAGAACCTTTTGTTAAATGTCGCATAGAATTGGTCAGAGAGAGCTTTGCTGATCTTAGGAGGGAAGCTTCCAGACTTATATCATTATGTATGGTGGCTGTGGGGTTTTCTTACTGTATTTTTTAGCTGTGGAGCTTTCACAAATAATCCCTTTATTACCTCAAACTATTCTTAGTTTGTTCAGGTGTTTTAGTCTTTCCAATGGCAAGGGTGTTGAATTTTGTCAAATGTTTGTTCTGTATCTGTTAATATTGTCGTGTGAATTTTGTTCTGGTGATATGGTGTCTTACTCTGTTAACAGCTTACCACAGACTGAGTGGCTTGGAAAGGACAGACATTTATTTCTTACAGTTCTGAAGGCCAGAAGTTCAAGACCATAGTGCCCTGCAGGACCAGCATGAAGGACTCCTGGCTTCATATCATATGGTGGGAGGAGGAGAGATCTCTTTGAAGCCTTTTTCCTAAGAGCACTGACCTTTCCTAAGTCTCCACTTCCTCGTGCTATCACTTTGGGCATTAGATTTCAGCCTAAGAATTTTGTGTCGACACAGATGTGGTGTATAACAGTGATTTCTATACATTTAACTACTCTTGAATTGCTAAGATATAGTGCAACTGGTCATGGTGTATAATACTTCTCATACATTGCTAGGTTCGTTTCCTATTATTTGTTGAGGGTTTTTTCATCAATATTAATAAAGAATATTGATTTCTTGTGATGCCATTGTATTAGGAGAATAGTTGGCTCACAGCATGAACTATAAAGTGTTCCCTTGTCTAATTTTTGAAAAAGCTTGTGAAGGATTGGCATGAATTCTTTAAACATTTGGTAGAATCCTCCAGATAAGCTACCTCCTGGGTTTTTCTTTCTGAGAAGCTTTTGATTACTACTTCAGTCTCTACTTTTTATAGGCCGACTCAGATACTGTTTTCTTCTTACATCAGGTTTCGTAGTATTTGTCTTTCTAGAAATGGTCCATCTCATCTAGATTATCTAACTGTTGTTGACATTATCTATTCCCTTTTAGCAATAAATTTTACAGACCACCTCTAAAATTTTTTGCTATTTTAGATTGAACTTTTTCTAGCTAATTCATATGTAAAACATTTTAAAATTATATAATTGTTACATGTGAAAACAACATATTCGGAAACTAAGTTTTAAGAATCACCAACATTATTTTCATGCATGTTTTATTTTGTCTTTTAGGATTGTATACTCATCAAACAAAAATATAAAAGACTATGAAGAGGAAATTCTTAAGAAAAAGATAGTGGAGAGTGGGTTACCACAAAAGAAACAAGACTTCAATTTTCAAAATTGTGCTAACGATGATGAAAAACCGCCTGTGCAGCTCTTAGGTAAAAAAATCATTCGATTTTTCTTTTCTGAACATGAAATTCCAGAGGATGCTAGCAATAGAGAGGACAGTTTAATTTCTACTATAAAGTTGTGTTGTTGTTGTTTTTTAAGACTTGCTTATTTATGCATACAGAACTGGGGTACAGGCCCAAGGTGCAGGGGCGGTGAGAGGATTCATCAGAGACAGAGTGGGGAGCAGAACAGGCATCAAATGTGGATGGGTGTGGTTCACAACATGCAGGCATCCTTAGTATGTGGTAGATGTTTTAGGCATATATGTGTGTTTTGTGTAGTCTTCCCTGGCTCAGTTCAGCGGGGTGCAGTTTTCTGCATTGACTTTATAGTTCTCATGGATGAACTGGCACCTAACAAAAGCAAAACTCGCATAACACGCAAATCACTCCCTAATCTGTCAATTGTGTGGAGTCATACGCTTTCAACACAAGCTTTAGAGCAGAGTTGAATTTATCTTTTAACTAAAGATTTTATTACTGATAACGTGCAAGAATAGTAACAACTAAACTTTTTAAAGCTCAGTTGAATTTTTCTTGTATTACTTTCACCATATCAAAATATCTAAATATGGTAAATGAATAAGTTAATGTCTATTCTAGACTCTAAGGTTGTTCTAGTCATCTAACATATTTCATCTAGTCATCTAAGTGGTAACAGACTGCTTCTTCTAGAGGAGGATTCTAAGATGGAGAGTTTAAGTGACTTTCACACAGATAGAGCAGTTGTCAGAGCTGTTATTTTATCCCTGTTTTTCCTGCCTCTGGCAGGCTCCACAGCCTTCCATTAAATTAATCAAACAAGTTGTAAGTGAAAAAAGCTCATTTGTCCCTCAGTTCCGTGTCTTTCACCGACAGTCTCCATCACTCCATGGAAAAGCCCTGTGTTCGCCCATTTAACAGACACTTTTGATCCACATCTTATTTTTTCCATTTTTCACTCTGTCAGTGCCCCCTTCCTTGATGCTCTGTGACGTTCCATGCCTTCTATGACACTGTGCTCTTTGTTTTTCTTCTTGGCCATGCCCCAGTCTCCTTCACTGGCACTCCATCTTTCTGCCCCGTATGTAACTGGTATTCTCCAATGTGTGCGAGCTTTATAAGCCACTGACTGGACTTTTCTATCTAAATACAGGCATACCTCTTCTTTTTTATTTTAAAGGTGTATTTTATTTTATTTTATTCTATTAAGATTTATTTATTTATGCATTCACAATTGGGGTACAAGCCAGTGGTGTGGGGACAGTGAGAGGATTCACTGGAGACAGAGTGGGGAGCAGAACAGGCCGATTGACAAACTACGCTGCTGAGGGGAGCAGCTGGTGGGTCAGGGGAGGTCTGCCACGCCATGTGGATCACCTATGGGACTGGGGATCGAACTCACACCAAAGCAGCCGCGGCTAGCTTGCAGTGCTGCTTCCTAACTCGTTGCGCCACCAGGGAGGGCCCCAGGCATACCTCTTTTTACTGTATATTACTGGATCAGAGATAAATGCCTTTTTAACATAGAGGATTTGTGGCAGTCTGCCCTGAACGAGTTTAACTGGCACCATTTTCCTGGCAACATGTGTTCACTTCATGTCTCTCTGTCACATTTAATTAACATGTGTATATTATTATTTTCTTAGACATAATGCTGGTGCCCAATTAAAACTACAACGGAGTATAAACATAACTTTTACATGCAGTGGGAAACCAAAAATAGTCATGTGACTCAGTTTGTTGCAATATTAGCTTGTTTGTGGTAGTCTGTGACTGAACCCACACTATCTCTGTGGTATGCCAGGATTGCTTAAATATCTTAAAGTTTAATCTCTCTCAGGCTGACCTAATCTGCCTTTCCCAACATACCTCTACCTTAAGTGTTCTATCAGTGTGAATTATATCACTGTATTCTACTCAGTTACTCTCTTACCCTTTATTCTATTCAAGTTTGTGTTTGTTGACGTATCTCCTGAGCATATTTCTCTAGTTTATCCTGAAGCCTTTTCTTTACTTCAAGATGCGGCTATTTTCTTTGAGAATTTCTACCCTGTCTAGTCACTAGACCTCTCATTGTGCTGCCCATGTTTCTACCGTGTAGAATGATGTTTGTTAATTGCAAGTCTGATTATAGAATTCTCTTATTAAAATTCTTAAGTGGTCTCCCAAAGCCTTAACTATAAATTTCAAATTCTTTCCCATAATGTAAGGGGATTTTGTGAGCTCGCTCCTTTCTAGAATTCTTTTACTTTTTGTCTTTAAAAACTCTAACACCCCATGAGTACTAACCTGACATTTTCCCCACCCCCTCACTATATTTTGTCACCCCTGTGTCTTTGCATTTGCTTTTCTTCCTGCAAGACCATTCTAATCACTCGTCAAAAATCACTCATGTTTTG